AAAAAAAAAATCGTCGAGACGGGAAACCCGCCTGGTGGGCAGCATCGATTCAAACAACGGGCGGCCCAATACCTGATTCGGCTGCGTGACCCATGGCTAACAGCCCGCTCCAGGATTATTTCTTGTATTTCTTTAATATAGTATTATTCAGCTGGAAATCGTAAGTCTCTCCTAAGGCGTTATTCCATTTCTATCGAAAAACCTAATGATTCTGGAATTCTTGGGTCGAACTCTTGTAATTCCTCGTCCTAGCATTTACCTCGGACTCGGGATGCCGGTAAGTGGAACCAAATTGTCTGCGTTTAACAAAAATATGAATTTAATAAAGGTATAGGCTGCGACCACTCCCTCTGAGGATCAATCCTTTACGGTCCCAGTTTCTTCATCGCCACATCACCAGGGATAAGCTACAGTAGGTATACTGTCAACATCAGTCCTCCCACCTCTGTTCCTGTCCGCTCCCTTCCTATCTCCTTGGAGTGAGAGGTAAGCGAAGGGGTACACTTTTCAGAGCATTTGGATATTTCGATTGATATGGCTAATCACAGCTAATCACTCCTATCACCTTCGTTTGAGCCACATAATAGCTGTGTAGGTAATAGATCAGATTCGGTGTCGCCATGGACAAGCTAGCTGTCACTAAACCGGTACCGACGATGATCCAATTAGCGTTTCTAGAAAGCAGCAGGATTGTGCTCAGGTGATAAGCCAACTGAAACTATCATTAAACCAGTTACTCCATTCGAAAGCGAGTTTTGATTTCCAAAAAAATAAAACAGTCAGGAAAGCTCTCCAATAGTTGTCCTCCAATGAATCTCGACGTTTTCCCGATTCTCTTTCTCTTCTTGAAGACTTCATGGGAAGCGTACGTCGGATAAAATTGTCGGTTGTGAAGAAAATCCCAAATGAACGAGTGAACAGCTTCAGATTCCATCTTTTGGAAAGCTCCAATAATGCTCTCGGTACGACTTCCTTCCTTCAATGTTTAGAGTAGTTACCGTCAATTAGCACC